CGATCCGCTACCCTCTAGCACGGCAAAGGGGCTGCCCCCAGGGGACAGGCCACCCCCACGGGTGTCCCCAGCATTTGCAGGAAGGATGTGCCAGCTGCTCGCTCGCTCGGAGGGAAATCGCTCTCTGGGCCAGCGTCGCAGGTAATTCGTGCTGCACTGGGCCATTTTTAAATGTTTCCTTCGAAACGAGCCGTCCGGCAACGCACCGGCTGCACAGCCGGTCAGAGCCCGGGCAGCCTTCCCCGCCGGAGACCCTTTCCCGGCCGGGGCCACCCTAGCAAACTCCCACCGCGTTTAAGCGATGTAGGAAACGCTCGCTTTGTATCGGCAGCTCTTTTGGCCTCGCTCCAGTCCAGTGAGTGAAAACGTGCGTTATTTATTGGCTGGGCAGCAGCAGCTCGCTTGACTCTATTGCATCCATATGTTTACAGGACGTACGCTGCGCGTTTGCAAATCTCTCGGAAGACGAGTTAATGGGCATTAGTCCTTTATCAAACGTAAGGTTTTATTCGTTTCGTTTCCACCTTTAAAGCGATCTGCTGGTGGATTAAATGATAAAATCATCGGCTTTAAAGTAAGCTCAGACGAATGCCAGGCTGATCCACCAAACGCGTTTACGTTTGATGCGAGTTCGCCATTGCAACTCCAATTTACAAATTCAAAGGTAACAAATCTGCGGAAGTGACTTTTTTTTTTTAGTCCGGGTTAGGAAAGAACCTCAAAAATAGTGGAGATTTTGGGGATGCTGTGAAACCGTACCTGGCCGGCCGAGATGGACAGGACGGAGCAGATTGCCACGCACGGGTGCGGCAGAGACACGGTTCGCTCTTGAAGAGCTTCTTCGTGAGTGGCTGAAAGAGTAAATCTGCTTCGTCCTTCCGAAAGTTAGGGCTCGTTTCAGGACAGTTTTTACACCGCCGTGCGTAACCCCCTTTGTAGGGTTACAATCCCATGTTTCGAGATTTGCGATTAGTAAATCGAAATAAGGGCGAGCCGCGCAGCACCAGTACTGACTCTATCGCTTGCATTTGTTACCGCCTCGGGAAAGAAACTGCAGGATGTCTCTGCGATCCTCAAACTTTCCGCCCCAGGGGAAGCGGCGTTTCAGGAGAAAGAACATTTTGACGGGTCCCTGGAAGTTTAGGAGCCTTCTCCAAACTGCGAATTGGGAAACGGCGGTAGAAAAGTGCGACTTTTCGTTTAGGTTCTTCGAAGCAGATTTCCCAATGCATGGCCAAACGCTTCTCTCGGCGAAGGGAAGGTGTCCTTCCCCTACCCACAAGAAAGCGCAGCCGCACACCGTGCACTTCTGCGGCGCAGTTTGGAGAGAGCCGCTGGGGCAGCCGGAGCGACGGACACTGGGCAGGGAGACAGACGCCTCTTCTTAGAACTGACCTTGGGTGGTGCTGCTGCTGCCTTGCGACGGCAGAAAGGAGGCGTTGGGGCCGGCCAAGGCCCCCGGGGTACCCTGCCTGGCGCTGGGAACCGCAGGCTCCTTCGTGCTTGCCCCGCGCAGCTCCGCTGACACCGGGGCACCGGGAGGAGGCGAAACTCGGGGGGAGGCACGGCGGGCAGCCGCGCTTCGCCGCGCGTCCTCTCCGCCGCTCCCTGTTCCTCTAGCGGGAGATCCTGTCCACCCCAAGGGACGCCCCGAGAGCGGGCAGGAAGGCTCCCATCGTTTCTAGACCAGGGCTACCTGCGGACACTCGGCCAAAGGGTGCGCGGATGCGGGAGGACTTCAGGCGAGACGTTTAGAAACACGCTCCAAAGCCGGAGCTTAGGGCAGGGCTTTCCGCCTGGGGGTCAACTTTCTTCTCCCCCCGTAACGGAGCCGAGCGGGGCTCCCGCTGCAGCGGCCTTTGCCCCTGCAAGCTTGCGGCGGGAGATTTCTTTGAAAGCCCCTGGTCGGCGAGAGGGCACCGGAGGAAAAGGCGGCGCTCGGTTTCACG